TGGGTGACACCTTGTTGGTATTGGGGGGGGGGCAGCACATTTGAGGCTCCCCCCTCCCCATATCAAGAAAGTTGCCCACCACTGCTGTAGATTATGTATAAAGCTGGGGCTGGCTGCAAAGGTGAGCAGCACAGGGATGAACAAGGTGAAAGCCATGTGGTCATCACTGTAGATGACAGATGTGGCTGCAAAGCATCTGCAGGAGATCAGCAGCGCAAGGATGAAAGCCATACAGTCCTAGTTGTAGAATATACAAAGAGACAGACGTGGCTGCAAAGAGGCTGCAGGAGATGGAGTAAAGTATGAAGAGCCCCATTGTAACTGTTTACGACCCCCGGAACAGTGCGGGCGGTGCTCTGTGTATGGGGTCATTGAGGGAAGAGCGGCCGTGCCCAGTGCTGTCAGTGTGTGAACTCCTGTCACCTGCCCGCTCCTCTCCTCCATATATAGTCAGCCAGGCTCCTCGCACTCCGGATACAAAGTTGCCTCCAGCCCGGCACTGAACGGGTTCCCTCCCCCTCGACTTCCTGGCAGGCTCCCCCCGGACATGAGGCTACATGCCCGCTTCTCCTCCCGGCTGGCTCACCTCGCTCTCCACTTTCTTCACCGGCAGTTTCTGCCACGGGTCTGCCAGCTGCGCCAGCGGCATCTTCCCCGCCGAGCGAGCGGGTTCCCGCACAAGTCCCGGGGGAGCGGCGAACAGAGCGAACTCCCTGGTCTGTCCGGCCGCTCTGCTGGCGGAGGAGCCGCTGCTGTTGTCTGTCGTCCAATAGCTGGCGAATGCGTGCCGCTCCAGCGTACAGCTCCTCTCCCCACACACTAGTCACACTCTCTGCTCTCCACTTCCTCTCACAACATGGCGTCCCGAACAGTACCTGCCGCTGACTTCCCGACGTCACGTCTAGGGGGCGGCACTCTTCACCGCCTACTGTCTGGGGCAACAGGTGACTGCAAGGGAAGCTGAGGGGCGGGACCTGGTCTGTGGGGAGGGGACGGCTTACGTCAAATCAGCCATCTTGGTAGAGGCAAAGGAGGGACTTAATTTTTTTTTTCTGCAGCGTACAAATCAAGTTTTCTCAGTCATGCATGACTTCACAAATTCTCCTGCATACCTTTACACATTGGCTTTGTCTGTGGATGGCTTTGAAAGAAGTCTTTTTACTAGTCAAAAGAGGAGAGACAGTTTATATTATTACAATTATAATACAGGGATAAGATAGCGCCAACAGTTTGTGCAGCGCTTTACGATATAAAGGGACAGTACAGCTACAAATCAAAACGAGGATTAAGAGGGCCCTACACGTAAGAGCTTACAATCTAATAGGATGGACCAAGTGGTACAAAAGGTTATACAGTAACTGTGGGGAATGAGCTGATGGAAGTGATAAAGGTCTTTGGAGGCGTGAAAGGCTTCCCTGGAGAGATTTTTCCGGCAGCCAGAGTAGAGGATAGCCATACAGATGGAGGTAGGGAGTTCCAGAAGATGGGAGAGGCTCTCGCAAAGTCCTAGAGATGAGCATGGGAGAAGACAAGGGAGCTTGAGAGCAGGAGGTCATGAGAGGAGCAGAGAGGACGGTCTGGGTGATACTTGGAGATAAGATTGGTGATGTAGCTTGAATTTAATTCACTGGGCAATCGGAAGCCAGTGGAGGGATTGGCAGAGAGGGGTGGTAGACACTGAGTGGTTGGTAAGATCTTGGCAGCAGCATTCATGATAGACTAATAAGAGGGACATTCCAAATATTATAAAATAAATACAGTGTATGAAAGTGGCCTTATTACAAGGAGAAACCTAGAAGGACTAAAGATAAAGTGATTGTAAACCTCAGACATAAAATATGAACAAAGTATATCCCTCTATAGCAGGAGTAGGCAACCTTTAAGAGGTTAAGGGCTACCTGGACAACATGAAGGAAAGCAAAGATCCCCTGGGGGTGTCTAGGTGGCACCCTTAAAAAAAACATCAGCCTCCCCACAGTAGTGTCCTCTGTCCCCCTTTACATCAGCCCCCACTATAGTGTCCTGTACCCCCAATGCAGTGTTCTCTGCCCCCTTTTCATCACTCCCCAACTGTAGTGTCCTTTGCCCCCTCCCCCCCACAGTAGTGTCCTGTACCCCCCAAAGCATTGTCCTCTGCCCCCTTCACACCCCCCCCCCCCACTGTCGAGTCCTCTGCCCCCTTCCCCCCTAGTAGTGTCCTGTACCCCCCCCCAACCAGTGTCCTCTGCCCCCCTTCACATCACCACCCCCCTTGTGTAGTGTCCTCTACCCTGCCCTATAGCAGTGTTTCTCTGCCCCCCAGATAGTGTCCTCTGCCTCTCCATCCCCAAAGCAGTGTCCCCTGTCCTTTTCTTATCAAAATCCCCCCCACTGTAGTTTACTCTGTCCCCCCCTCCCACAGTGTCTCCTAAACCCCCCCCACAGTGTCTCTTAAGCCCCCCCCACAGAGTCTCCTAAGCTCCCCTCCCACAGAGTCTCCAGTGTCCCCCCTCCCACAGTGTCTCCTAAGCCCCCCCACAGAGTCTCCTAAGCTCCCCTTCCACAGAGTCTCCTGTGTCCCCCCTCCCACAGTGTCTCCTAAGCCCCCCCCCACAGAGTCTCCTAAGCTCCCCTCCCACAGAGTCTCCTGTTTCCCCCCCCTCCCACAGTGTCTCCTAAGCCCCCCCACCACAGAGTCTCCTAAGCTCCCCTCCCACAGAGTCTCCTGTTTCCCCCCTCCCACAGTGTCTCCTAAGCCCCCCCTCACAGTGTCTCCTGTGTTCACCCTCCCACTGTGTAGTTTTTGCTCTCCCCCTTTTTCTGAAATCGCAGTCAAGCTTTATAATTTCTGCACTTTGAGCAGATGTAGAAAAGAGAAAACTGCACTTAGACAGGTACAACTTATGTAGGAGGATTTGTTTGATCTCTGTGTATCACCTGAGGCCAGTCACTTTACTGGATATATGTAAGGGGTTACATGCACTTTAAAGGGGTAGTTCACCTTTACAGAAAAACTGCCTATGCAGATAAGGGGTGTCTTTAAATAAAAAGAAATGGTGTAGCTTGAATAATGCCCTTGTTATAGGTGTGGACATTCGATATACCTCATGAAGCCTGACTGGAAAACTCCCAGGAAGTTGTTAAGAGAGGCCCAGCTGTTACTGTTTACCACCACAGCGCTGGACTCTAAGCACCGAACTCAGAGCTAATACATCCAGGGAGAAAAAGCGCATGTGAGGAGGTTTGCCCTTGCCATAGGTATAGGCCATTTATTGTTTGTACCTCATAAAACCTGACTGGAAAACTCCTAGGACATTGCTAAAAATGTTGCTAAGAGAGGCCTAGCTCTTGCTATTCACCATCACAGGAGTGAGCTCTCAAACACTGAGCTCAGAGCTACTGCATCAGAGGAGAGAAAGAGCACAAGGGGGTCTGAATGAAAGAAAAAGCTCCCTCCGGAGAAGGTAAAGGTGAGAAGGAATAGCTGGGCCTGTCTTAGCAACATCCCAGCAACAAGGCAGGATAGGGAGATGCAACCATTGGGATTTTCCAATCAGGCTTCATGAGGTACGTAAATGGCCTACACCTATAACGGCATTATTCAATTTTGGTCAAAGCTGCACAGTCTGTTTTAATTTACAGGTGACTCCTATCTGCATAGGCATAGTTTTTTTGTAAACATGAAATATGCCTTAAAAGCATTTTCAAAGTAAAAATAATTGTGTTTAGCTTTGTATTAAGTAGAGAATGTGTCCTATTGGGAAGAATGATCTTCACTACCTGTCCTGCAGATATCAAAAAGTGAATCACTCCAAAATGAGGTCAATCCCTTCCTAAACGCTTACCATCATTGGAAGATGTCTCCCCTGTTCTGTCTCTCCAAATTAAGGGCTGAAAGTGTGATCTCTATTAACTGATCCAGTTGTGGTGAAATAGCTTTAACTTACAGTCTCGGTAAATTGGCAGATAGGGAGTCAATTCAAATGACATCTTGCAGATTGTAGAAAGCTTTACTCAAAAATTGTGCAGATCTTCACAAATGAACATCAGTTAGGTCAAAAATCATAGGGGTTTATTTATTAAAACTGGAGAGTTTAAAATCTGGTGCAGCTCTGCATAAAAAAAATCAGCTTCCAGGTTTTATTGCCAATGCCTAATTGAACAAGCTGAGCTTAGAAGAACATTGGCTACCATACACAGCTGCACCAGATTCTGAGTACACCAGTTTTAGTAAATCCACCCTATAGTGTGTCTAGCTCCAGCAGAATACAGTACATGTGGTAAATGGAGGCCAAAGCATGAAGAAGAGGGGGGGACTAGCTACACAGCACATCCCCTAGCTACAGAGTGAGGCAGAGACAAAATTATTAAAGCAGAACTAAACTTGTTGATTTAACAGTTTAAAAAATTTTACATTCCTGCCATTCTGGGATTGCTTACTGTCACAGTTGCTTGTGCTCTCAGTCAAACTGTCAAACCATCAAATGGCTGGTGTGATAACCGATCAAATGTAAAGGACCGTCGTGGCAGTTGCAGATCAAACAGAGGCTAAGATAGTAGCTTCCATAGGAGCATAAAAAGGTTTAGTTTCGCTTTTAAGGCAAACAGTCAACGCCTGTGTAACATGATACCCAGGGCCGGTGCATCCACTAGGCAAACTAGGCAGTCACCTAGGGTGCTCTGCCACCTAGGGGCGCCTGGTCGCAGCACAGGCTAGCACTCCCTCTTTGTGGGACAATGCCACGTCATGAATGATCCTCTAGCTTAGGGGAGGGGTGGCAGAGGGGAGGAAGAAAGGACAGAGGAAGATGCCAGGTGTCTGGGGCCAATGTAGGAGTTGAGCTGCCGCGCCTTCCAGTGTTCCTCTCAGACTCAGTCCCTTACTGCAAGCCAGCTGGTGGCTACTGATGATCACTGTGGAGTTTCAGCCCCTCTCTTCCCATTCATCAGCAGAGGCAAAGGGGAAGGTAATGTCTGACTCTGATGTCTGTATGAGTGTGACTTTGCCGTCCATCCATCACATGTGCAAAGTGTCTGTGAGTGATGACATCATCCCAATCCCCCAGCCTGCTTTTCTAGTGCCTGCTGGGCCTGCTGATCTGTGTCAGTGGTGCTGTGTTGTGTCGAATCTGTCACTGAGAGGGATCACTGAGTTCAGGTGTTCTCTGTGTCTGTGGGCTGGGCTGCCTGCAGTCATAGTGTTTTATCTCAGCCCACTGCCTGGGGAATTCTAGCCTGGGATCTATCAGAGTGTGGATCCATCATCCTCCACTCACTGCAACTGTCACTCTGCCACTGCCAGCCACAGATACAGTCCATCCGTGACACTGATTTTGTCTTTAATATTGGTGCTGGTGGCATCTTATGGCACTTAGTTTTGCAAATTAAACGAAATTTAGCAGGTTCACATTTTGTTGATTTAATATTTTCTACTGTTTTTATTTATTTATTTATTTTTTTTTTTTGGGGGGGGGGGCACACAAGTAGCTGGTCATGCCTAGGGCACAAAATAGTCTAGTACCGGCCCTGATGATACCCTTTATTGCAGTTCTGGTGACAACTAGGGAAGACTTTGGGTCTGCTGTTGTCAGTACCAGTCCAATCAGCTGTGGCTGGATCAATCCCACTCAACTGCTGCACGTACACAAAAGGGCAGGGATGCTCATGACATCATTGACTTAATATGGCCACATGCCACATTAGGTAAATGACAATGAGCCAATATGAACATATTAGGTCAAGTTGTTATTAGCATCCCTGCCCCTTTGTGTATGTGCAGCTGCAGGGTGGGAATGACTGGCCACAGTTGATTGGACCAGCACTGACAGCTTCCTTCTGAGTCTGGACTGAACCCCAGCTCATCCCTAGTGACAACTCATTTTTTTGGATTTCCCATCATTTTCCATCACAGAGAAAGTGGATAGCCCAACAGAGAGGGTGAATCATCCCAGTGGACACAAGGATAGCAATTAAAACTAGGGTTGCACCGATACTAAGCATTTGCATGAGTATTTCGGTGCCGATACTAAGTATTTGCATGAGTGTCGGTACTCTTGCAAATGCTTCGAAATCTGAAACTGATACCTTCGGGCTCGGTTCTTTCTGATGTCAGCGGGATTCCCCCACTTGCAGCTGAAATGTAAACAAAAAAAGCCGGAAAAGCAAAAAAAAGCTGGCAATAACTAGTTGTTAAGGAGCACGGTAGCCATGTCCTTAACAACCAATGACTCATTCAGCTGTCAGCTGAAGTGTAAACAAAATAAATTGGAGCTGTCAAAAAAAAAAAAAAAAAGCAACCTGAAATATGTTTATCAACAACATTGCTCAGCTGCAAACAGATAAAAAGTAACATTGTTTCATTTTGTATATTTCTGTTTATTCATCTACAGATGAAGTCAGTTAAAAGCAACCTGTCAAGTAGAAAAAAGGTTGTTTGTTTTTTTTACTAAATGTTCCTCTGCTTAACCCCTTATTAACCCTCAATTTACTCTACTCAGCCCTAATTAACTCCTTATTCTCCCTCTCTTTAATTATTATTTTCCTGCTGATTTTTTTTTTCTATCTTAAAAACTATTAATGATTAAAACTTTTTTTGTTGTTGTTTGCTTTGTAATATTTTTACACCTGTAACATAAATTTACACGTTTCATATTGAAAAATGCGCAAAATTGAAAAAAAAAAAAGAATTTATTTCATTTGTAAATAGCTTCTCAATGCTTTGCACCAGAATCATAATTTTAGTGTCATTTTATTCAGATAATTAAGCCATAACACCTGCAAAGGGTTCCTGAGCCTTTAAATGGTCTGTCAGTCTGGTTCAATAGGAATCACAATCATGGGAAAGACTGCTGACCTGACAGTTGTGCAGAAAACCATCAATGACACCCTCCATAAGGAGGGAAAGCCTCAAAAGGTAATTGCAAAAGAAGTTGGATGTTCCCAAAGTACTGTATCAAATGACTCATTCAGCTGTCAGCGGGGTTCCCCTGCTGACAGCTGAAGTATAAACAAAAGAAATTGGAGCTGTCAAAAAAAAAAAAAAAAAAAAAAGCAACCTGAATATGTTTATCAACAACATTGCTCAGCTGCAAACAGATAAAAAGTAACATTGTTTCATTTTGTATATTTCTGTTTATTCATCTACAGATGAAGTCAGTTAAAAGCAACCTGTCAAGTAGAAAAAAGGTTGTTTGTTTTTTTAACTAAATGTTACTCTGCTTAACCCCTTATTAACCCTTAATTCACTCTACTCAGCCCTAATTTACTCCTTATTCTCCCTCTCTGTTTAATTATTATTTTCCTGCTGATTTTTTTTTCTATTTTAAAAACTATATAGCTTCTCAATGCTTTGTAATTTTAGTGTCATTTTAAACAAGACAAATTACAGAATCAAATGTGCACTTTTTATGTACAGAACACTATTTATTTTTAAACCAATACTGCTCAAAGAAAGATTTGCATTTTTCTTAGTTTTGTTTCATTTATTTGTCTAAGGATTGTGAAAAAAAAAAAATTGTTGCAAGACAATACACTTGTTTATCTTTAATAAAAACAATATACGTATTACGTTGTTATCCTAAAGCGGAGTTCCACCCAATTTTTGAAGTTGTGCCCCCTTGTTGCTGATCACAGTGTCAGTAATGTTTGGAATCTTTTTTTTTTTTTTTTTTTTTTTTTTTTTTAAAGCATATTACCTTTTTTGTCCATTAAACAGGTCCACTTCCACTGTACATCGCTGTGGTGAGGTATGTCATATCCGGCTCCAGGAATATACAGGTGAAACTTGAAAAATTAGAATATCATGCAAAAGTTCATTTATTTCAGTAATGCAACTTAAAAGGTGAAACAAATAAATGAGATAGACTCATTACATGCAAAGCAAGATAGTTCAAGCCGTGATTTGTCATAATTGTGATTATGGCTTACAGCTCATGAAAACCCTAAATCTACAATCTCAGAAAATTAGAATATTACATGCAATCAATAAAAAAAGGATTGTATGAAGAAAAATATCGGACCTCTGAAAAGTATAAGCATGCATATATACTCAGTACTTGGTTTGGGCCCCTTTTGCAGCAATTACTGCCTCAATGCGGCGTGGCATGGAAGCTATCAGCCTGTGGCACTGCTGAGGTGTTATGGAAGACCAGGATGCTTGGTATGGTTCAGGATGGGGGTGCTCGCTCGTCCCCCCCTTTCATGACCTGCTGGGCTGCATGCTTGGATATGGATCTGGCATGGATTTTGGGGGATACCCCCTTTTTTAACTTTTTAATTGCCGGCAATTCTTTTTATATTCAGCTGTCAGAGGGGAACCCCGCTGACAGCTGAAACATTAAAGAATCTTTTCACTATTAAAATACCACATAACTTAATAGTATAACTCATGCAGTATTTTAGTAGCTGTGCGGTATCTTATCGTTAGGTTTGAATGTTCGATTGGGAACCGAACAGGGGGGTGTGCGGTCCATCACTAATGACAAATTTATCACCGAATAAACAGATCCATATCAGAAATGTAAAAATTTCTCTGGTTTATAACTGGTGAACAGCTGTGAGAGCCAAAGTGGTTAGGGAGCAGGGCCGCTTCATACTTAACATCCAATCACTCATTCAGCTGTCAGCAAGGTTTCCCTACTGACAGCTGAAGTGTAAATAAAACAGTTGCTGGCAGGTATACGTAATTGGTATCGGCAAGTATTACAAAGAAATATCAGTACTTGCTGTGAATAAAATGGTATCGGTGCATCCCTAATTAAAACCTTTACTTTCAAAAAGTAATGAGGAGATTAATAAATATACATCTGTGACATATTAAATATCAGAGACGTATATAAAATATCCATATGAAAAAACTTGTGATTTTTATATATATATATATATATATATATATATATATATATATATATATACACATACACACACATATACTGTATATATATACTCACACACATACATATCTCTCTCTTTCTATATATATATATATATATATATATATATATATATATACACACATACACACACATATACTGTATATATATATACTACTCACACACATACATCTCTCTCTCTCTCTATATATATATATATATATACACACACACTACTAAATTATAATGAATTAAATGTGCTATAACATGAATCCAAAGACAAAAAATCTAATAGTGCAAATGCAAGAAATAAACATTTTTCCACCATGGTAAAATGTGTCAAAACAAAATGTCACCTAGTGCCACCACCCAAATGAAGGTAGCCCAACCCTTTTATTGATCCCCAATACAATGAATACAACTTTGCATGCAATGAATATATGTACTCTGTGTTATTGAAATTCGGTTGCCTCATGCATATATGGCATACAAATGTTTAAATGAAATAAGCAATCTTAACAAAAAAAACCACTCCTTTTCATGCAAAAAGTAATGGCCACTCATTACAAAAATGGAACACAATCATCTTGTGCAAATTTAAGAAAATTATTTTAATTCTGCTCAAAACTACTGCTACTACTAGTACTTACTACTACTACTACTACTACTACTACTAGAAAATGTTATTATGGAATTTCAAAAGATGGCGGTTGTGCAGAGAATGATCATACAAATTTGAATGGTAAACATGGGCCAACAACAAGTTAAGAGACACTTAACAGTTGGCACTAAAGCAGTGGCAGAGTGCATTTTCTTTCCTTTTTTTCAATGGGAAACCATTGATTGGGACCATGGGGAGAGCTGTATATTGAATGTAAATATTATTTTTTATCTGACCCTCACCGACCCCCTGAAACCCATCCATGGACCACTTAGGGGTTCATGGATCCCAGGTTAAGAACCCCTGAACTAGGCGGATATAGTCATGAGAATTGGAGACATGCCTGAAAGTGTAGGGTCTAATGACTAATTCTTTTCATACAGTAGACCCTTCTATTGTGATATTTTGTACCGCAGAGATTTCCTCTTATTTTTGGCTCTTGTTGCTGTAGAGGCATTTTCCTTGGCAAATTACAAATACTAGAAGCAATGTCATACTTATGCTGAGGGCCTGTAACACAAATCCCATGCTATTAACCTATTCCCACCCGGCCAATAGCAGAATGATGGCCGAGCAGGACTCTTGTTGATCTTGTCGGCCTGCTTGGCCACGCCGTGGCCAGATCTGTCACTGGCTGTGTACCATGGACACAGCTGATGACAGAACTGTGTACCAGCCCTTTGCCAGCAGGTCACACAGCAGGTCACATGACAATTGTATACAATTGTGTCACTAGCTATGATTGGTCACAGTGATCACATGTACAGACTGGGCCAATTACAGCCCATCTGTGTCATGTGATTACCGTGGCCAATCACGGCTAATCACAACATTCAGTTA